AGATCATGTAATTTGGTTAAGTATTAGTTGAGTTATGATAGATTTTGTATTTGAGTGTACTTAGTGTGACGAAAATCACGAATCGCGCGTGTGACAATATTTATGAAAACGACAGTAACATTATGTAAGTTATTTTTTAAGGTAAGAAATTGTGAAATGCCTGATGTGAAAAAGGAAGTGATCTGACTTCATGCTTGCAGAGCAGAATCCCATTTTATTAATTTTTAACGTTTTCTGCCTCGCTTTGCTCACCGTGTACTTTGTTATGCATGATATTTTTTATTTTATTTAGTTCGCATAATATTCCCCGGAAACAATCGTTAGTGCTAATTTCTGGCTCTCTACATATTAACTTCAGCCCGCTGCCACATCTCCGCGGATAAGTACATTTCAACCTATCTGTGCACCTTTCGTCTAAACTGTGCTTTTCTCGCATCTTTAAACTTCTTGGCCCTTGCGTTCTCCTCGGTGGCTGATATTCGTAATGCTGACCTCTGGAACATGTCAACTGCCACCGCGGAGACAATCAGGTCCCATATAGACCGAAATATTTCGCTCACTTCCTTTTACAGTCGCGATAAGGACATGCCATCTACTGCTATATGGAAGCTTACTCTTGACATATGTGTGCCTAGCAGAGCTGACGACATTCTGTTCCCCTGAAGGACTACGATGGACAATGCTTCATTCCGGTGTATTCCACACTGCAGTGGAAGTAGATAAGCGGATAAGCGCGGGTGACAACGATGTTTTGAGGCAAAAACCTCGCTATAGAAAACACGCACTGTCCCTTCGAAGTTGCTTCTCACTAAAACTCTAGGACTGGACCTAGGTGCACGACGTGAATCAGAGTTCTTTCGGTCCTAGTCAGGCGGTACATGTCATTCTCTCTTGGCCAGACTCTGATGAAGAACGCCGTCTCTACCAATGGAAACCGTTGGTTGAACAGAGGAGCTCAAATGTATTGCGTGCTCAACTTATCTGGACATGCTGAGTAGTTTCTATTATCCCGTTCACCACCTCGGAACACCTAGGTCATGGGATTGATGCTTCTTTGCTTCCATCCATCCAATGTATCGGCACTCGGGATAACATTTGATGCTTCATCGCTGGCGCTGCGGGGTCAGGAGCTCCGCTTATTACTGCGTACTTATATCTCAAGCTGCAGGTAATATTCGCTAGCTTTTCTCCCGTTCATCATGGACTTACAAGCCGACTCCGATAAACCAAAGGCAGAGCGAAGCTTCCATGAAGTCTACGAAATTCCCGCGAATTCTAGTGGTCCTCACTCAATCGATGAGAAGGGAAGCCAGAACTCCGTTGCGATCGCTATCGCATCGTCGAAAGAACGTGCTATTGCGGAAAGACGTTTGTTGCGCAAGTTGGACATGCGCTTCATGCCGACTATCGTTCTGATATACATCATGAACTATATCGACGTAAGTATTTTAACTTCTTATCTTGTCTGTACGCTGATTATTTGTTACGTGCAGAGAAGTGCGATCACAACCGCTCGATTGAAAGGTCTTGAGCACGATCTCGGTCTTTCAGGTGAGCTTCGAAACACGTCCCTTGCTAAGAAAATGAAGCTCATTCTTCTATTCAGATATACAATATGATACCGCGGTGGCTATTCTCTATGCATCATACTGCACTTGTCAGATTCCATCAAATATGGTAGGTAAAAATATGCTCTTTCGCTTCTTGATTGAGCCTAATGTCATGTGAACGTCTCAAACAGTTTTTAAACCGTGTGCCAAGGTGTGTAGAAGAAAATTATATCGATTCGCCATTTCTCTTACTGAATTCGTCGACTGCCTAGACCTTCCCTATATATCGCACTCTGTGTGATGGGCTGGGGTTTAACAAGCGCAATGACTGGAGTAAGAAATCTCGGTAACCGGGAACCTTATCACTTTTGACCTTATGGACTTATAGGTCACGCGTAATCCCGCTGGAATTTTAATTTGCCGGGTCGTCCTTGGTATTCCTGAAGTCTGTGTGCATTCCAGAGTTCCCAGCCTTGAATATTACCTGACATATTCACTAGGCCGCTTTCTACCCTGGTACTGTTTATCTTCTTTCAAGATGGTATACACGGAAGGTTACACCACACATCGACTCTGTAAAAGATAGTTTCGCTGATTTATACGATATTGATGTATTATAGGAGTTGGCGTTCCGCACTTCTATCTTATTCTCGGGCATGATGGCTTCCAGCGCCTTCGGTAGTGTAGGTATTCATTTACATTTTCCTACCTCTGCTTACTAACGAAGGACTTCTTCAAGCTGATGGCCGCCGGTATTCTCTCAAACATGGAAGAGAGGCGAGGAATCAAAGGGTGGAGATGGTAAGTGTATAACGCAATCTGACACATTCTGGAACTAACAATCAACGAAGGCTGTTCTTCATTGAGGTAATTCTCGCACTCGGTTCTCCACGCTATCCAAGAAATTTAATTCCTGGCCCAGGGCGCAATAACCATTACTGTTGGCCTGCTGTCGATGTAAGCGTTTTGTAATCTTTTAATCGTCAGTCTCACCCCTTGTACAGATGGTCCCTCCCGGATTTCGTCAGTTATTCTTCCACGCGTTCTGTAGTTCTATCTAACTAGATTATCAGCCGAGCAATACAAGGTGGCTATCACCTGCTGAACGCCAATTGGCTCAGGCACGTCTTGCAGAAGATGCAGGTGAGGCAGACGAAGACCTAGCCGAGGAATCGTAAGTGAACCTCCCAGGAGTTTGCCTACGTATTGATTCACGATTTTGTTTGTCGGTAGCATGTTGCAGGGCTTGAAGATGGCGCTTAAAGACATCAAGGTTTACATCTTTGCCATGATGACAATGAGTATGTTGCTGGGTCTGTCATTCGCTAACTTCTTCCCGACGTAAGTCTTTTTACCGCACATTTTGATTTAAATTCAAAATAAAACGAAACTTAGTTTGACATCGACACTGAGATATAATACTACGATTACTTTGCTTTTGGCTGCGTACGTCATTTACTTACCTACGGCGTTGATGCAAACCTCAGGCATAAGCCAGTCCACCATGGGTCTGGGCTGCCATCGTCTGCTGTGTCAATGCGCTACATGCAGGTACGCGAATCAGATAATATACACCCTCCTGCCTTGCAATTGCTTCAACTTCACCCAGATAGAACGGGAGAGCGCTTCTTCCACACTTGCTTCTCGTGGTGGGGAGTGATTATAGGTTATATCATTGCTCTCTCTACGTTCTCCGTCGGAGGACGCTATGTCGCGTTGTTCTTGATGGCAAGTGGGCACGCGGGTAAGTCTGCTCTGAACGGACTAGTTGCTTTATTCATATCTAAGTGTTCTCTGCATAGGCTTCGCTCTTACTCTGGTATGGGTATCAAATACTATCCCGCGCCCTCCAGCAAAGCGTGCCGCCGCAATAGGTCTGGTCAATGGAATCGGAAATATAGGTAATCTGTGAGTAACTAGCTTTCTTAATCCCGAATGAGAAAACTGAGAAAATTTAAAGAATTGGTTCGTACGCATGGAAAGCGAAGTGGGGTCCACAATATCATCAATCCATGGTAATAGGCATTGCAGCTTTAACATTCAGCTCTTTCCTTGCGTTCGGTGAGCGTGTTCCATTTCACGTACTCGAATTGACTCTTCTGAACTGACGGGATTTTTCTTTTCTTTTCGTTTAGTTATGCGCTGCATTCTAAAACGCATGAACAAGAAACTCGACGAAGATGAGCTCGGCGCATTGAAAGGTGCACAGCGTCAGAGAATTGAGGATGCCGCTCGTTTGGAAGGCATCACAATCAGTGAGGCGATGGAAAGAAAGAAAGGCTTTAGGTACCTCTATTAAGGAGGAACGTTATGCCAATCCGGTCCTTTTTCTTGTGCATGGACAATCTGAAATTCCTTCATAAAGTTGACGATATAACTTGCGTCAAAGCATCTCCGTGAACCCTACAACCTTAATGCTTGAACACGTTGGAGTAGTGAACAAAAACGGTGAAAGTTTTACAAAGAAAGTTTAGACTCCGACTCAATCCTTATCACCCGCGTTTTTACAGAAATATGTATGCCACGTAACTCCCTACCATTCCACTACCATTTACTCGAGTATTTGCATGCTGCACAGGCTAGTGTGTAACGAAATAATACGGAGAATACAAGGCGGGGATTAATTTAAGACGATTTACTTACGACCGGAACATTGCAGCCGAAATCCATGCAAGCTCTAAATGCCGTGCTCAAGCCGAATCTGCTTCTCTGGTTCCCTCAGCACAGGGCTCGGATGCGGCATGATGCTACCGGAACAGCTTGTAGCTTAATGCGTCACGATTGGTCCAATGGATACCTTCTTTATTTCTAAGATGCGTTGCTCTATCGGCGGAGCGAGCGCTTTCAGCTATCGCTCGCGCAGAGAAGGTCCGATGTGAGAGCGGTACCTGGCTTATGAGATCCCTATGGTCGCATTTTAGACTGTGATATTATTACCCAGTGTTTATTTAAAGTCACCTTCCTATCGGCAACAAAGAAGCAAGTGACATGTGCGTACCCTTTTGCCATTCTCGTAAATACGTACTCAGTCTCAATGAATAACAGGGAACCCCGCCCGCTGTCAAAGAATCAATGCAAGAGCGGGGAGGATGATTCGGTTCACTTGGCACAGGCGAAGGTGTCTTTCAATGGACCACATGTCGACATGATTGAATGCATTCGATTCTATCTTGTAAGAAGCCGAAAGTCCCCGCCTGTGTATTTATTATTATCCGCGTGATTTCCGCCCTAGAAGCTGTAATGGGTATAGGATTACTCTGGACACCCGACTATTTCGAGGTACGATAGTAAATCTGTCACGGGAACAATCTAATAGCGACTTACCTTTGGTGTGGAACCTGGTCAAGTCTCGTCTGTTTTTCTTTTGTCGTCTATTGTTTTTGAAAGTTCTCATGCTGTGAATTTTAGCTGACATTACTACAAGCCTATAATATTCTGGATGAGGCACGGTCCCGGAAATAGTCAGCGATGTTTCATCGAAGGTCGAAGTCGTCAGGAGTCAGACTCGGAGCGTAACTCCACCTTGACGGCATCTGGAAAAGTGGCTTGCTGCTTCTCGCTGGGAATGGACCTCACGGAGTAAATATATACAAGCTCGACAGTTCGATGCGATATTGCCCTCCACCGTTCCACCATGAACGAACATCGTGCCGAAAAACACTCTGTCGAACATGCCATGCAGGACTTGCTCAGCAGTCCAGCTGAGTCCTGGAAACCACGAGAATCGGGAGAAGGGTCGACTGGTCAATCAAATCCAGCCGTAGCATCAGCAAGAGATCGTAGTGTGGCTGAGAAACGCCTGAAGCGCAAGTTGGACCTACGACTCATACCGACAATCGTTCTCATATACATGTTGGATTATATTGACGTGCGTCTACTGCAACATTCAACTCTATCTTTTCTCACTCGAATGCAGAGAAACGCTATTTCAACGGCAAGGCTGAAAGGATTAGAACATGACCTAAGTCTCACAGGTACGAGCGATTATCTCAACATATACATACAGACATGCTGCACGAACGTACTGTCCTCATCAACGTGTATGTCCAGATATCCAATATGACACGGTGGTCGCCATTTTCTTTACACTGTACTGTGCGGCCCAAGTACCTTCAACTATGGTGCGCGAATGCTTTTGAGACGGCGACAGAGACGTGGTTAATTGCTAATTGATAATTATCCCAGCTTCTGAACCGCGTTCAAAGGTATGGCTTGGATAATCTCGTTCGAGTAACATTTACTCAATGAATTTGCAATGCAAATATGCAATAAAAAGACCGTCGCAGTACATCGGATTATGTGTAATTGCCTGGGGATTGACAACTGCTATGACCGGGGTAAGCTTAACCAAGCATTCAATGTGGAAACCGTCTTCTTTAACCTTGTGCTGGTCAGATAACTCAAAATTATGGTGGAATCCTCATCTGCCGCCTATTGACGGGTCTTTCGGAAGTGCGTGTCCAGATAAGTATCGTTTTCAGTCAAACAAGGCTCATCGCCATTCTATGACAGTCTGTCTTTATCCCAGGATCCAGCTACTTCCTCTCGCGATGGTATACTCGAAAGGTGTGGATAACTGCCAATTCTGGAGACGAGTTTTCTAAACTAGATGTACTTGAATGGCCTTGCAGGAACTCACTTTAAGAACATCGATTGGTCTCGCGGGTATTATGTGCTCAAATGCGTTCGGCAGTGTGAGTTGCTATATTTCCTAATCCTCGTGTGTCTAAATTACGGAATTGCCATTCTAGCTTATGGCTGCTGGGATTTTGTCGAACATGGAAGGTAAACGCGGAATCAGGGGATGGAGATGGTGACCATAAATGCTTTCTGCTGTCTTTAGCCTACTTAACGTCCAAAGGTTGTATTTTATTGAGGTATCACGGAAGGCTTCCTGCCTTTCGCATGCACAATTAACCGATAATTTAGGGAGCTATCACTATTATAATCGGACTATTTTCATTGTAAGTATAAGTTAAATACGTGAATTCAATTTATTGACTACAGTTGCACAGATGGTCTCTTCCCGACCTTGTGAGTATTTATACTCTCAAAACTAGAATCTGTCTCAGAATTTAACAGCCGAACAATACGCGTTGGCTGTCTCCGGCTGAGCGTCAGCTTGCTCAAGCGCGTCTTTCTGAGGATGCCGGCGAAGCAGATGAAGATCTCGCCCAGGACTCGTAAGCATCGACTTTACTTACTGGATTAGAAATCTGTTTCCTCATTGTTATTTTAGAATGTGGATGGGACTGAAAATGGCAGTTAGAGACATTAAAGTCTCTATCTTCGCTATCATGCTCCTAAGCACGTATCTCGGTCTATCATTCACCAACTTTTTCCCCAGGTGATAAGTGGCCCAAGAATTTGCTGGCATGATCTGACGGTTCTGAAGTTTAACAGCGACGCTTGGATTTGACACCACTATTACGTTGCTTCTGGCTGCGTAAGGATATATTACAACACTGTTCTGCATGCACCACTGATACATAATTGTATTGAAGGCCGCCATGGGTATTTGGTGCTACCGTTACCTGCATAAACGGATATCATGCAGGTATGCAATATCTTTGGTGGCGCATGAAGACATATTCAATATCCATATAGATAAAACTGGTGAACGCTTCTTCCATCAATCTAATTCACAGTGGGGGACAATCATTGGCTTCATTATCGGACTGTCAACGCTCGTCACTGGAGGCCGCTACGTTGCTCTATTCCTGCTGGCTGCTGGTCACGCAAGTATGTTATCTTATCATTTACTTCACTTTTTATCTCGGCGTCAAACAAAACAACTGACTTCTTAATTTCAGGTCTCCCAATGATCTTTGTGTGTGTATCCAATACAATTCCGCGTCCTCCCGCAAAGAGAGCTGCTGCAATCGGAATCGTCACGGGTATTGGGAACGTGGGAAACCTGTGAGTCTCCTTCAGACACTTCTTAAATGACAGACTTACACATTACCTCAGAATCGGGTCATACACTTGGAAAGCCGCTTGGGCCCCACTGTATCATCAATCAATGATTATAGGAACCGCAGCGATGGTGCTTAGCTCGTTCCTTGCATTTGGTGAGTGTGTTCGCTCTGGTTGTGATATATAGCTCCCGCGTTCTGAACAGTATTGTTTCGCGTAGTTATGCGTTGTATGCTGAAGCGTATGAACAAGAGGTTGGATGAAGATGAACTCGGGGCACTTAAAGACGCCAATCGTGAACGCGTTGAAGATGCGGCTCTCCTGGAGGGCATAACACTAGAAGAGGCTATGGAGAGAAAGAAAGGATTCAGATACCTTTATTGATGGATGACATGCGCTGTATCATGTATTTGTCATGACCGCAGTAGAGTGATTAAGACGCTAAAGGGCCTTCGGAATTGAAAGCGACACGGTGTCGAATCTTGATCAATATACACAGTCAAAGTTACAATATTTGTCTGTACCTATCTGATAATGTTTCGTCACACATGCTATGATGGCTTTTATTTGATTATTCTGATACAATTTCAGCTGGTACGTGATGTGGGCACTTTTTGGCATTAATTTTTTTTCTGTTTAGGGCGGATAAATTCATTCTCCGCTTGAACTCAACGCGTTACGGTAACGTGACTTTTGATTTCATTCCGGCAACTCGGTTGCCGGTACCACAAGTCATTCCAGTTCCAATGACACGCGCCGTCGCGCCCAGCCTGCCTTCTCTTGTTCATACATCAATGTCTGCCTCAAAAGACACTAAAATTGGAGGAGAGATAGGCGAAATAAGAGCCAACATTGATGTTAACCAGCTCAATGCATACCTTGAAAAGCATGTCAAGGCTGTTACAACACCCGTGGATGTCAAGCAGTTTAAGGTGAGTCTTCTCCAGAGTCATGGACATGTGGTGTGTATTTGAAGTACATTGCATAGTTTGGGCAGGTATGTCACTACTATGCGCCTACACAATGCTGGTTAGTGAGGCTCAAATGACGACTCTCCGATTCCAGTCCAATCCGACATATTTCTTGACGGACGCTAGGTTCGGTGAAATTAACTTCTCTTGCCCCCAAGTCATCTTATTTTCGTCTTCAGGAATACGCGATTCGTATTGCGCAAGAAGCCAGCAGGGAAACTCATCAGCAAGACAGCACATCAAATCGAACGCGAATATACCGTCCTCAAGGCTCTTCACACGCACAACTCGCAACCGGATACTCGTCCTGCGGATCGCGTCCCCGTTCCCGAACCGATTGTACTATGTACAGACGAAAATGTTATCGGAACACCGTTCTATATTATGGAGTTCCTTGAAGGGAGGATTTTCACCTACATACGAATGCCGCAGATCTCTTCGAAGGATAGGCGAGAATGGTAATGTGGCATGCCATTTGAAGATAACCTGCGAACTAAGATATGATTTTCATTTAGCTGGTTAGCAGCTATTCGTGCCTTATCCTCCCTCTCTAAACTCGACCCTAAAGCAATCGGCCTGTCAACATTCGGTCCCAACACACCCTACTTTCCACGGCAAATAAGTTCCCTCTCTCGAGTCTCGCTCGCCCAGGCCGAGTCCATCGATGTCGAATCCGGTAAACCAACAGGAAAGATCCCTGGGTTCGATGAGATGATCAGATGGTATTCCGCTCACCTCCCCGACGAAAGTAAAACCGGACTACGTGTAGTTCACGGAGATTACAAAATTGATAACTTAATTTTCCATCCCACTGAGAATAGGGTTATTGGAATTCTTGATTGGGAGTTGAGTACACTTGGCAGCCCGGTATGTCTTTCCTCTTTTCCTCCATATTGATATGTTTATCCGTTTCTTCATGCTGACGCGCGTTGCTTGTTTAGTTAGTGGACCTAGCGAATCTCCTCATGCCCTGGTCTGTCAACCCAAACGACATACCCGACGACGGCGCAGGTTTCGGCCATTCCCTTCTCACATTCGAGTCCGGACAAATACCCGCCTCGATAGAAGAACTCGAACGCGAATACTGTTCACTCACTAACCAAAGTTATCCGGTGGAAGGAATCGTGTTCGCTCGAAGTTGGATGGTATTCCGAGTACGTCTCATTTTCCGTCCCTTTCTCCTCTCAAAGCTGTTGATTGCGAACAAATATTTATGAACGATTTATTTTGCTTTTTATTTAGTTATCAATCATCTCACAAGGTATCGCCGCACGCTACGCCCTCCGTCAAGCAAGCTCCGAAAAAGCAAGCATACACGTCCAACTCTTCCCATTGTTCGGCGAACTTGCACGAAAGGCTCTCGAACGTGAGGGTATCGACATTTCTACTGCGAATGGTGATGGGAGAAGTACAACTGCGAAGTCGAGACTTTAATGAATAGTAAAACGAAAGTGGAACGGGGACCCTCTTCTCCAGGATCTTTCTTGCCCGGATATTTCTTGACCGGATATTTCTTGCAATTTTGTCAACGTGTTTTCTGTTACCGTTAATGTGCTGCTTTTGTGTAGAAACCATATCTTGCCCAGCTATTCACAACGTGCTCATACAAAAATAGAAGATAACATTCTCAAAGAAATAAACATTCTAGTGGCTTCACAGAAGAAACTGACGCATGCTGAATATTTGACCCTTTTCCAATCTTTAATTTTAATTTTTATACGCCATGCCACGTCATCACACCACCAAATATTCACGACTCTAACAATCAGGAAACATTTATCATTTCTTTCCGTTAGTTTGCACAAAACGAATAGCATGAACGAGTCGTAAAAAAGTCGAAAATTTGTGTAAAAAAAGTGAAAAGTTAGAAGTGTAGGTTCTGAGTGGGGCTGTAAAACAACTTTCCTTCCCTCCTCCCTACGTACGACAAACCGGCGAGCCGCTCAGTTGTTTACTGCGCATCGAAGAAAAGGAAAGAAGGGAAAGTAGAGAAAAGGAAAGACAAGGAATATACGAGATGCTAGTGTACTATAAGATATTGATGCATGATGTCGAAAGTTACTACTTTTGATGGACAGGGGAAGTCTAGGTGTGGTAAGTGGGGAGGATATGGACAAGGTAGTGAGAATGAGCAGATTAGTTAGTAGTGGACGCGACCGAGGCGGGAGAAATTCGAGATTCGGAAAAGATAATAGGAGAGTTATTTAGTTCTCCTTCTTCTCCTTGTTCTCTTCCGTACTCTGGTTCTCCGTAGATGACTCCGACGAAGATGACGATGACGAAGCGTTAGTTTCTGCGTTACGCTTCTCATACAACTTCTGGAATAGACCCAAAGATGCCTGCTGAGTCTCGTCGATCTTCGTCTTGATCGACTCTGCAGTGATGGAAGCGTCACCCGACTGACCCTTTGAAGCGAGTTCACGCAGGTCGGAAACGAGTTTCGTGATCTTCTCGTTGTCTGCTGACTCGATGTCGCCCTTGAATTCGTTCAAAGCTATAATTCATAGACAGAAAGCAAACTCATTAGAAGGGAGGAAAAATTGCAGGGAGAATATATGCTTACCCTTTTCAGTATCATGGCACACCGACTCGGCCTTGTTCGCCTCCTCAATCACCTGCTTGCGTGTCTTATCCGCCTCAGCGAACTGCTCGGCATCCGCAACCATCTTCTCAATATCCTTATCGCTAAGACCAGATGACGAAGCGATAGTCATCGACTGGTCCTTGCCTGTCGCCTTGTCCTTAGCAGAGACGTTCACAATACCATCAGCATCAATGTCGAAGGTGATCTCGATTTGCGGGACACCCTTGGGAGCAGGTGGGATACCAACGAGGTTGAAGTTTCCGAGAAGCTTGTTGTCCCGTACGAGTTCACGTTCACCCTGGTAGATCTTGACTTCGATAGCGGTCTGGCCATCGGCGGCTGTTGAGAAGACTTGAGACTTCTTGGTCGGGATCGTCGTGTTGCGAGAGATGAGCTTCGTCATGATACCACCGAGTGTCTCGATACCGAGCGAAAGAGGTGTGACATCGAGAAGGAGGATATCAGTGACATTACCAGCGAGAACACCAGCCTGAATCGAAGCACCGATAGCAACAGCTTCGTCAGGGTTGACACCCTTACTGGGCTCACGACCAAAGACACCCTTGACCGTATCCTGAACCTTTGGCATACGAGTCATACCACCGACAAGGATAACTTCGTTAACCTCCGATGCCTTGACACCAGCATCCGAAAGAGCCTTCTTGCAGGGGTCAATAGTACGCTGGACAAGCGGATTCACTAGCGATTCGAACTGTGACCGTAGCAATTTCATGTTGATGTGCTTCGGTCCCGACGCATCAGCAGTAATGAACGGCAAGTTAATTTCCGTCTGTTGTGTCGACGAAAGCTCAATCTTCGCCTTCTCGGCCGCTTCACGAATACGCTGGATCGCCATTCGGTCAGACGACAAGTCGGAACCACTTTCCTTCTTGAACTCCTTCAAGATGAACTCAACGAGGAAGTGGTCGAAATCTTCACCACCCAAGTGAGTGTCACCGTTCGTCGACTTCACCTCAAACACACCCTTCTGCATCTCCAAGATGGAGATATCGAAGGTACCACCACCAAGGTCGTAGACGGCGATAACGTTTGAGTCAGTGCGATCCATACCGTAGGCGAGAGCAGCTGCAGTCGGCTCATTGATAACACGAAGGACATCAAGGCCAGCAATTTGACCTGCATCCTTCGTTGCTTGTCGTTGAGCATCGTTGAAGTATGCCGGGACGGTGATAACAGCATGGCTAGAAAAAGTGGAAAAAAGGAGAAATAAATATTCCGCGGAAATAGCGCGAAGAAAAAAGCTCCCACTTACTTCACTTTTTTGTTCAAATAAGCCTCAGCCGTCTGCTTCATCTTCGTCAGCACCATTGACGAGAGCTCTTCAGCCGACTAGTTAAGTTGAGAAAAAAGGGGTCAATGAGTCTCAGCGTATCTGCTGACAAATAATACATACGTAGAGACTCTTCTTGCCGTCCTGGTCGACCTCCACAGCAGGTCGCCCGTCGGGACGAGGGACAATCTTGAATGGCCAGTGCTCCCTGTCCTGCTTCACCTCCTTGTCATTAAACTGTCGGCCAATCAGTCGCTTGAACCCGAAAACGGTGTTCTGCGGGTTGACAACGGCCTGGCGCTTTGCAGGCAGACCAACAAGACGCTCGCCGTGCTTCGTGAACGCAACAACAGAAGGTGTTGTCCGGTTACCCTCGGCATTTTCAATCACACGGGGAGTTTTGCCCTCCATGATAGATACACAAGAGTTTGTCGTACCCAGGTCAATACCAATGACGGGGCCATTAACCTTGCTATTCATATTCCGCGCAATCATAGATCGCGGGATCTGCGCGAATGCGCCTGAGCGCAGCGACTGGGGGCGAACAGCATGGCGGGCGGCAGAGAACATTGTGAGGGATATCGGAGGAGGAGGAGGAGGTGGTGGTGGTGGTGGTAGAGGAGGAAAGACTACTGGCGAGTGAGTGACGTTCCAATTTTTTTCTTGTAAGCCGGTCCCCGGTTCCCACGACTTGATTGGTTGTGTTACGTAATATAACTCTTTCCGGTTGTTTCCTGTTCTTTCTGCGGAATTCCATCCCTCTCCGAAAACACAAGAAGAAAAATCAAAAAAGTCTATCATATTTCCGACACTATCATCCATTTACTATGCTTACTATGATTACAGAATACTCCACAACGAACCGTGGGTATGCACTCAATGTTGCGTTGTACTCTGCCTCGGTGATTGCTCTTGCTCTGAGTCTCGCTTCAAGTGACTATGCGAGCCGGATCCTCTCGAATGCCTATGTGTCTGTGATGCACTCCGTGATAGCGTCTTTTCCAACTGGTGATCAGAATCATGTGGGGATTCAGCCCGTCCGCTTTTTGACGCTCGCTGAGATCCACGACGCTTCACTTCGGACCCACCTTTCTCACTGCCACCACTACCGATTCTCCGCACAATTTCCGACCACAGGCTGGTCCTGCTAGGATCTGCAGGTGGCTCGTCTGCCGTCTTGGATAGCTGAAGCGCCTCCTTCGTGTCGAGTCTCGCAACGATACTGCTTGGAGGCGGACGTTCCTCTGGGTCCTCTGCCCACGCCCATACCCAACTTGCCTCCGAACGACTGGCATTGGCTCCTGCTTCAGCTGTGGCACCACCCTGTTGCTGTTCAACCCCCTTCTGTAAAAGACTCTCTTGGAGCTCTTTAATAGTTTTCACAGGGACCTTCTCTACATGCTCCAAACTCGTCTCGCGTTTCTTCTTAATCGTCCCCTTACCTCTTGCGAATCTTTCATTCCACTTCGTTTTTCCTTCAATGTATCTGCGTAGCACGAGTTCACTCACTACACCAACGCTTTCTAGAGGCATTGTGCACGCGCCCAGTTTGCTTGGTTCTTCAAGTGGGCGCACCTCGCCCTGTGCGGAGACTCGCTCTCTTATTATATGCCCCACGAATGGCGAATTAGACCCTTCCGGTATTTGTTGATATACACTTGCATCGCCTGCAAGCCTCACTTTCTTGATCTGGGACGAAGCTCTTTTGTCACTACCTGTGGTTGACTGACTTTGACTCTTTCTTCCAGTAGAGTCAATGGCTCTTCCGATAGTTCCAGAGCTACGCCTTGATTCCTTCGGAGCAGTACCGGAAACGGATCCTGATCTCTCAGCTCTCTGTTTTTTCGGCGAAGCTTCGTCATCCGTGCTACTTTCCGTCTCCGAAGGAAGCGTCCCGAGAGCATACTTGCTGAACGTTGTCATCGCGTCGAAACAAAATTGTGCGGACTTGCAGAGAAAGAAGATGACAGGAAAAATATGAGCTGCGTCTATAGGTGCAAAGAATATTCAAAACAGCTTAAACACGGCCAATGCAATCGGGTAAGAGGGACTAACCATCATAAACCTGCAGATGTACCTTCGTCGGCCGAAACCGCCCTTCTATGCCTTCCAATTTTGGATACAGCTTCCTTGCTTCGGACTTGACAGGATATCGTTTAGGATCAGCAGCCTTGTGAGCTCTAAAATGCTGAATAAGTCACCATGATCGTAGCGTCTTTTGGAATTATGAAACCACTGACGTATATATGATTTCGTCTCTCAAGACTTCACCATCACCTGCAATCACCAGCAGCGGAGGAAGCCCGCCAAGGTAAGACAACGCTGGGCTCACAAGCGGATGCGTCAAAAGTGAGTTAGGCGCATACATATGCAGCTGGTCATGCACTTCCAGCACATCACCGTTCTCTGTCTTCACACGCATTGTTTGGTCGCTCGTCTTACCCGCAATCGGCAAAGACGCCGACGAGCCCGTGTTCAGTGGTGCTTTATGCTGACTGTCCCGATGAGGTGACGAGGACAATCCCGACTTTTTCACGGCTGCGGCCCGTACGTCTCCACTCCTCGCAAGATCTGCTAGTGTCTCTTTCGATGCATTAGGCCCATTACTCCCTGACGCACTGGCATGATCTCGTTTCCCATGATCGGTGTGCCTCTCACCATGACGACTTCGACCTTTATGACCATGACCCGATGCGTTACTCACATGCCTACGAATCGTAGCCTGCATCTCATCCGTATGCGCATCAGAGGGAGGCGGCCACAGAACAGAAGGTCTGAAAATCGAAAGTCCGTACTTTGGGATAACGTCCGTATCCGTATTGGTATGGATACTAGGAAAAGAATGTGTGAGATCGCACCAAGGCGATATAACGATGCCACCAGCTGGTCTGGGTAGTTCAAGATCACGAATCACCTGCAAAAGAGCGAGAGTGAGACCACCGCCGGATGAATCTCCTGAAATGATAAGTTGCTTCGGATCAACGAGCGCATGCTTTGCATCCGATGGAGGACGAATTAAATATAAATCTAAAATTCGTTTCTTGAGAAGAAATTAGCGATCGCGCGGTATCGGAACGTACATGCGGCCAAAGCGTCCTGCAAGGCACAGGGGAATGGGTATTGAGGAGCAAGTCGATATGATACCGTGAGGATGCGACAGTTAGACTTGCGGCTCATTCGTTGGATCGAATATCTACTTGTTTTCAGCTTTTACTCAATCCTCAGAAATTCACCCATACCTCTCGGTATCAATATTACCAAAGAAATACGCTCCTGTATAGTATTCTCAGTTTCCAAGCCAATATCTGGAGAGTACAAAGCATACCGCCGTGGAAATACAAGATACACGGAAGCTCGTTCATCTCAGGCTCGTATTCAGACACTTCATCCTCATTCTCCGAAACTGGTCTTCTGGATTTTTCAGACTTTCGTCGTTCCCTTCTTTCTTCTTTAATACGCTGGTGATCCTTCTTCGCCACGATCCATTGGGCATTTATGCTGTCAATTAATTATATTAATATCCGATAATTCTTCGAGGCGTAATAATGATGCGAATAACCCTCTGATACTGCGCACTTGCCACCAAACTGTTCCACCGACAAGTTGGCGCGTCTTTCCCCCACCACCCAAGACTTCGACAAGCTTCTTCGCAGCCTCTTCGCACACTTCCATTGGTATGACCACAGGAGTCTTTATCATCCAAGGTACCGTTGGCGTTCGCGCATTGGTGAGCTGCTGTAGATCCTCAATTGTGTGCCTATTAAAAATGTCAGATCGTGTGGCGTATAAAGATATGCCAGGAACGAACTTGGTAGCCGCTTTGACCATCGACTACATATCACTTTTAGATACTTCTCGACACATGTCAAGTGGAAAGGTGACGAACGTACCTTGATGAAATGAAATATCTCGTTATAAAGCAGATCATCAGTCAAAGATTCGCCATCCTCTTTTGCCTTGCTCTTCTTGTCCCTGAAATAATGTTTCACAAGACTCTGTAGAGCCCAGGGACCAGCTCTCAAGCTAACATGACGAGTCAACTCTGTAGACATGATGCGGGGGTGGCGCTCTGTTCGCAAGGTACGCAAATCAGTATTCCTGGCAAATTAAAGGCAATCTCCAGTGATTCTCCACATTCGTTTTGAGATAAACTGCATTATCTACAGTCCAATACTCATCAGAAGTGCATTGTAGATTAGGCTAGCCTCGTCTTCGCATAGCTCTCACTTCTTTACGGTTTGCTGGGTGGCGCCCAAGGGAAAAGGAGTAAGTGGACGCCGCATACTGATTGCAGTATGCCTTCGAAAGCTAGTGGAAGATGGGTATTGCACACCCGCAACAGACTATACTCAGAAAGGCAGTAATAAGCGTTAGTTGGTGGCAACGTATGAGCCCGCAGGGAGTCGTCGAAGTAGTTCTGCGTTGAATCTGCAATGCTGAATTTTGGGAGCGAAGTCGGCCCGGCCCGATTACGCGAGTTCCAAAAGAAGAAATGTTGTGATAAAGGATCTTGGTGGATAAATCAACACAAAAGATTTTTGAATATTCTATTGTAAGTTCAATATATTGTGAGATAGGACGTGGAAATACACGACAAGAGTAATCCAAAATAAATGGAATAATTAGCCGGTCGAGCATATTGTGCATTCATGCACTATACTATACTTATTGCTATTGCTTCAATAATTCTGTCCTCACTCAGCATGTCCTTGCGATTGATTAATATCGGGGTATAACTCTCTTCTCTTTCGTCTTCTCGACTAATGATTTGACGTTCGGTCGTGGTTCTTTTTCCTCGAAAGCAATGTAAATGTGCCCCTTATTTTGCGGTCACCCAACGAAGCATGCGACTCGGACTTTGTCAGCTCACTCTCAGAGCCGCGTGTGGAATGCCCCCTTGCATCGCCAGATGCTGTCTTTTGCTTGCTTCCATCAGTCCCGTCTCTGTCAGGCTTAGTATCACAAATAATCCTAGACCATAGTCTGGTCTTGGTCGGATCCTTGCATGGCTTTTCCGCTATCTTGGCAAGCTGACGTGCCTCCTTCGTATCAAGTCTTGCAACAATGCTGCTAGGGGGTGGGTATTCGTCATCTTTGACAGCCCACGCCCACGCCCAGTTCATATTTGAGGAATGCGGGACATCTTCTTGGTGAGAAATGGAGCTTGTATCAGACGCACCGTCATTAGCTTGCCTTCCAGCCTTGTCCTGTACCGAGTGCTTTTCATGTCTGTGATCGCCTGGAGGAGCATTCTTCACATAGTTCAGACTCGTTCCACGCTTTTTGTGAATATGCTTCTCTGTTTTGGAGAACCGCTCCTTCCATTTCTGTGTCCCTTCAAGATACCTACACAGTATGCGTTCATCTATTGCGCCAATGTTTTCCGAGGGCAAGGTACATGCGGGTAATTCGCTTTGCCGCTCAAGTGGCCGAACCTCTCCTTTTGCGGACACTCGAATCCTGATCATTGTATTATCCCTAAATTGGTTACTCTCGCCATCTGTAGGCGGCTCGTAGAGCCTCCAGTCATCCGCAAATCGTACGCTTCTATCGGCTTCAACTTCTTCTTCCATAACAGAGCACTGATCACTGTGATCAGGTGAAGTACCTTCCGTTCTCAATGGCTCAATCACCATGTCGATGAACGTCCACATAGCCCCAAAGCAAATCTTCGCAGATTCGCAGAGGAAACATAGTAATGGAAAGACATGAGGAGCATCTGGAAAAGTGATGGTCATTAATGCCGCAAAATATGAAGCTGCGGTAGCCAAAAAGAAAGGCTAACTGTCGTAAACCTGAAGATGCACCTTTGTCGGTTTGGAGTGCTCTTCAATACCTTTAAATTTAGGATACATCTTTCTTGTTTCTGGATGTACTGGGTAGCATTTGGGGTGAGCGGCTTTGTGGGCACTAAGAAGCTATGTTCAGCGGGCACAAATCTGGAGTTTTAGCAACTCTGATACTGACGTATAAATGATTTCGTCCCGCAAAACCTCACCATCACCTGCGAATACTAATAGTGGCGGGAGTCCGCCAAGGTACGATAAGGCCGGGCTCACGAGCGGATGTCTGAGAAGGTTATTCGGTGCATACATGTGTACTTGGTCTTTCACTTCTAAAATTCCTCCGTCGTTCTTCCTCGCACGTAGTACTTTATCTTCACTTTTCTCCGTTCTTGGCAAGACGGTCGATGGCACGCAATCAGCTGTAGCTTTCTCTTGACCGCGTTTTAGCGATGATGATGAACCTGAATTCCTGGTAGCAGTAGCATTCATTCCTCTGCTTTCTGTGGGGTCCGTAGAGGCCCTTTTCGAAGATTTAAGAACACTATGGCTGGTGGAGTCGCTTCGAGAGTCCCGATTCACGTGACTAGTAGAGGGCGTACGTCCTTTTCGACCTGCCGCCTGATTGACGTGTGAACGGATCTTTGAATGCATATTAGCTGTTTGCTCATCAGATGGAGGTGGCCATAGGTGGGAAGGCCTGAAAATTGAAAGCCCGTATTTGGGGATAAAGTCTGTCTTTGTGTTGGTAAGAACACTAGGAAAAGAGTGTGTTAGGTCACACCAGGGCGAAATAAGAATGCCTCCAGCAGGTCGAGGCAGACCCAGGTCGCGTATGACCTGGAGTAGTGCAAGAGCGAGGCCACCTCCTGCAGAATCCCCGGAAATGATTAGTTGCTTCGGACGAACGGTGTGCTTCGCGCCGGACGGGGGATCAACCAAGTACAAATCTAAAGTTTGTCTGAGGGGGAATTCTCAATTAAGAGAAGTTTGAAACGTACATGCAGCTAAAGCATCCTGAAGTGCGCAAGGGAATGGGTACTGAGGGGCAAGTCGATATGAAATAGTGAGTATTCGACAGCCAGCATAAATGGCCATATGCTCAGTCGAGTACCTATGTAACGTCAATATTTACTCAAATCTTCACAAAAGCATATACACCTCTCTTGATCAACACTACCCATAAAATAACCTCCTGCATATGTTGATCAACATTCGAACAACTGAATAATAATGACGTACTCACCACCGTGGAAGAATAATACGCATGGTAGGTTGTTCATGTCAGGATCGTATTCAGAATCTTTGCCCGCAGGCTCTGGTGAAGGGCGTCTAAATTTTCGCGATCTTCTGTGCTTCATGTCTTCTTTATCCCTTAAACTGATCCATTCGGCGCTAACGCTATACATTGCGTGGTGTTAAGAACAGGAAACTGTCAAAGTTCAGTAAAAGAGACTGACCCACCGGTGCTGCGCACTTGCCACCATATCGTTCCCCCAACGAGCTGGCGTGTTATTCTTTCCCCACCTAGTACTTCAATGAGCTTTTCGGCGGCTTTGTTGCAAACATCTATTGGTATTAGTATCGTTGTTCTTTTAATCCATGACGACGGTAGTGTTTGCGAGCTGCAGACCTGCTGCAAGTCTTCAATCGTGTACCTGATAATTGCAAGTATAAGTTACGATATGTAACGTATTGAAAATGATTGACAACGCACTTTATAGATTCCCGCATGAAGAACTACAGCGTAGTTAGGCTTCCTCTTTTCAATGTACGTAAATCATGAGTTACTGGGCATACCTTGCAGAACTCAAATATCTCTCTGTACAGGGGATCATCATAAAGGTATTCTATATCCTTTCCTGATTTTTTACCTCTCTCCCGTAAAAAGCGTTCCACCCGAAACCATAGAAGTGCTGGTAATGAGCTTAACATGCGTTTCGGGGTGACAGGCATGGAGGGAAAGCGTTACACCACCTTTCAGACCTCCCGTTTGCTGAAATATCGCCTGCTCGCCCCTACATAGTACGTTTGCTTTCTATGGTTCCGCAAAGTAGCGTTGAACCACATCACTGCATCATGCTGGTATGTGTTTTACCTTACCATGAGACGCCGCGGACAGGCCTGGGTTTGAATTATTCCTCCATCGTGGTCGGTTAGTCTCTGGCATCAAGAGCCATAAGCCGCACATTCGTATAAGTCGGTTCGATTCATATGGGCCGAGTTACAGTAAGTGATAAATCAGATAAAGTATCTCTGGTTGATCGGCATTTGCGATCAACTAATGTCCCACGGTAAACACAGTATCTTCCTTTATTCAAGTTATTGGATTACTGTCGTTTTCATAAATATTGTCACACGCGCGATTCGTGATTTTCGTCACACTAAGTACACTCAAATACAAAATCTACTATAATTCAACTAATACTTAACTAAATTACATGATCTAAGTTGTAAAAATTATACTTTTGAAGTATCTTTCATATTCCAGAAAAAATGAAGTAAAATGAGCAAAAATTGAGTAAGATACAACACAATATGTGAGTTTTCCCTATATTTCATGTATATGAGTTTTCCTAGCCCTAAAACTGATTGTACAATACTATAAACTAGTCTAAAT